CATTACACTCATCAATAAAGTCCAGGGCAAGAAGAAAACATTAAGATGAAAAAGTAAAAGTTTAAGGAGAAGACTGAGATGAGGTACTGATACACAATAGGAAAAGAACAGGCTGAAAGAATAGTCGAAGTACCGAAGACCTAGAGATAATTCAGGATTAGGCCCTGAGATGACGATAGATCCGTTTTTTGAAGGAAGATTGCTTATAAGAAATAGGAAAGGCGGAAGGGGGAAGAGAGTTCCAGAGTCTGGAAGTAGATGGGAAGAAGCACTCGCTGCACCGACCAATCCGCGAGCTACAAATCTCCACACAGTAACTGTGAGACGAGGCTTCTTGGCGAGTGTTACGTGGCCTCGGCAGTGGGGGAGGGATGCAACTCGCCAACTCATGGAAGTTGTAACGATAAAAAAGAGAAAGGGATGTACCTTACGGCGAAGAAAAAAATAATCCAGATCAGAAGGGTCATTAATGAGCCTGACTGCCTAGAAAGAAACCCTATCAAGGAGATAAGTATAAGAAGAAGAACCCCAGATGTGCGAGCAGTATTCTAAGCAGGGACGGATAAGACCTATATGAATTTTAGAGGAAATGTAATGATAAAACGAAATAGAACTCCCAATATATTGGATGGATATATATATATATATATATATATATATATATATATATATATATATATATATATATATATATATATATATATACATATACATATATATATATATATATATATATATATATATATATATATATATATATATATATATATATATTAGTCCCCATTACGGGGGTGGATAAAAAAGATTTTAACTATGGAATTAAGTCTGGATTCCCTGTCTACTGCCATGCGGTGGGCTAATAACGGCCGACATAATGAGGAAATTGTACAACTAATCCTTCATCAGAATTAGATAATCGGTATTGGAGATAAAAATCATATTCCCAGAAATTGGCTTCCTGCCTAGGGTTGATAAGGTGCATTATTAAGAAAAGTAATTCAAAGAGTTTGTGTAACAATATCATCTATTGTTCAAGATCGCAATATGTAAGAAAGCTTATGTGTTTGCGCATATATATATATATATATATATATATATATATATATATATATATATATATATATATATATATATATATATATATATATATATATATATATGTATATATATATATATATATATATATATATATATATATATATATATATATATATATATATATTTATATGTATATATATATATATATATATATATATATATATATATATATATATATATATATATATATATATATATATATATATATATATATATATATATATATATGTTACAGTTAATATGTATAATCAGTTAATAAGTATATTCCCTGAAAAAAAAAACCAGTTAATAGATATATTACCTGTTTCACTCAGGGAATATACAGAATAACTAAAAATTTCAGTTATTATACATAATACCTGAAATTTAGAGGCATTTTTTATACATATTCCCGAAACTGAAAATTGAAGGGGTGAAGTGAAAATATGACAACACAATATGAAAAATAAAATACGATAACTCTTGATATTCTTGATATACTAAAAGTAGGTTAGGTTAGGTTAGGTTAGGTAATATATGTATTAACTGTTTTCTTTCAGGGAATATACATATTAACTGATTATACGTATTAACTGTAATATATATATATATATATATATATATATATATATATATATATATATATATATATATATATATATATATATATATATATATATATATATATATATATATATATATATATATATATATATATATATAAACGCATGAATATATATAAACGCATGAATATATATATATATATATATATATATATATATATATATATATATATATATATATATATATATATATATATATGTATATATATATATATATATAAATATATATATATATATATATATATATATATATATATATATAAATATATATATATATATATATATATATATATATATATATATATATATATATATATATATATATATATATAAATATATATATATATATATATATATATATATATATATATATATATATATACATATATATATATATATATATATATATATATATATATATATATATATATATATATATATATATATATGTGTGTGTGTGTGTGTGTGTGTGTGTGTGTGTGTGTGTGTGTGTGTGTGTGTGTGTGTGTGTGTGTGTGTGTGTGTGTGTGTGAGTGTATGTCTGTCTGTCTTTATGTATGTATGTTTGTATGTATGTACGTGCGCACGTACGTATGTATGTATGTATGTATGTATGTATGTATGTATGTATGTATGTATGTATGTATGTATGTATGTATGTATGAATGTATGAACGTATGTATGTATATATGTATGTATGCATAATACTAATTTGGATGTTCATGAAGAACAGGAAATGAACACACTTAATCAACACAACACAAAGGAACCCATATTTATGTAATAATCACTCGATAAAAAGTGAAAAAAAAAATCAATACAAATGTAATTAATAATAAATTATATAACAAAAATAACTATTTTAGAGGGACAAAAATTCAATATTTGCTTGTGAAATAATTTACAATAATGTCATGAAAAACAATAATAACCACGTGATAGTAATAATAATAATAATAATAATATATATATATATATATATATATATATATATATATATATATATATATATATATATATATATATATATATATATATATATATATAAGACAATAAAAATATAAGTAATAATAATAAAAGAAAAATAACTTCAATAACATATTAGAAAACAATAATTATAGGTCATACAATAATAAAGATATTAATAACTATATAAATAAATAATACAACGATCAAAGCAATAACAATATTATCAGTAGAGTAGTAAAGACAATAATAATGTCAATAACGAATTCATTAAATGCAATTGGAATATAAATAATGAAATGCAATACCAATATAAATAAAACGACGATAATAGTAATATGGAATTAAATGCAATAAAAGCATACTTTTATACTGCGTTAAAATAAAGGAAAACAATAACAATATAAATTAATAGGAAAATATTTCATGAGAAGAAGCAATTGTCAAGACACCTAATTGTCTCGGAGCGACCGTCGCTTCAAACTCTTGTTTTCAAGAAGAAGAAGAAGACGGTTGGAGAGAGAATTTCCTCTCAATAAAAGGTTTTATCATGACTATGGCGGAATAGGACAACAAAGAGACCACCTACTGTTGTCATTTTTTCCACACTGACAACGCACGAACACTGACAACAGATGGCAGGAAAAACAACAGTTAAGAAAATATTTTTATACCCCCCAAAAAAAGAAAAAGAAAAACCTATTTAGTTTTGGGTATATCGGTAGATCAAAGCTTGCTTTCCTAACTGCTGTTGTCATTTTTCACACAAAAAACACGAGAACATAGACAACAGATGGAGGGTTAAGAGGAAATTTAAGTTATTTATATACCCTGAAAAAACAAACAAACAAACTATATTTTATGGTATTGCAATGGATCAAAGATTACTCCCGAATTACTGTTGTTTATTGCCACTCTGACACCAAGGTCAGATTGCTTCGCACCTACTGTTATCTATGGCTACTCTTTTCCACACTGACAACACGTGAGCTGGAAATATAGTAAGTAGGGTGGGACATAGAACTCTTTCAGAAAACAAATAAATTTCGGTTGCTTAGTGGATCAAAAATTGGCTTCCGGCTACTGTTGATAATTTCCATCCTTTCATTTTGGCAACACGCGACAACAGTTGGGAGGGGAAAACAATAACGAAGGGAATTTTATAGACCCCTAAAAAGACATATATCCGTGGCTCCGTGGATCAGAAATGGGTGTCAGAAAAGACTTCAAGCTGTAGAAACATTTAGCTAAGAGAAAACCAAACACCATTCATTCAAGTGGTTAGTGAAAAATAGCTACCTCGTATGGACATGGAGAAAAATAGTAAAAAGTAGAGAATAATACCGAAGGAGCTAGTGAGAAACAGTGACTCCCTATGGACATGGGAGAAAACTAGGGCCAAAGAAGCGGAAAACACAATCATCATTATTTTCACAATCATTGTTACCAGCGGAAATACGTTGACAAGTTAAACATTAATCCGGTAATAATGATTCTTAAAATTCTAAGAAATCGGCAGGAAAACTGAACCAGTGGACAGAGGAATATCTCGTCCTCCTCCTCCGTTAGTCAACGTTTCAGACAAAAGTCAAAAGGGCCAGTTTGGAATATATATATTTTAGAATATATTTCTCTAAATATATTTTATATATACAAAAGACATATTGAAAATATATTTTCAATATGTTCATTATATCTTGAATTGTAGTTTTGTATAATTTTTTTTTCTTTAAATAGATAGCATATATAAGCAGAACATATGGAATTCTTGTTTACATATACGAATATATAAGAAAAGCTTTTTGAAATATATATTTTTTTGATTATATTAGTTTATATTCGAAAAATATTTTAAATATATATATTTTTGATCTATTACTATATATCACTATATAGTACTATATGAAGGGTATAATGCCAAAGATGTGGTGAGGGAGGATATAAGGGTGTATGGCATATACTTACAATTAAAGTATCTGAATTCCAGATCAAAACTTAGCACCAGGGTCTGCCCCTCTCTTTCTTTATCTCTTACTTTATTTAATTTTCTTGCTTTTCCCTCCAATTCCCTTATATCCTTTATTCCCTCCTATTTTTTCCCCTCCTATCCTATCCCATCCTAAAAAAAAAAAAAAAAAAAAAAGGTATATGGTGTGACAGAGGAGGATGCAGGGGATAGGTTTATACGGAGACGATTGATCCTTTGTGGCGACCCTGATGGTAGAAGCCGAATATTTACTTGAGCACCATTTTATTTCAATTAATTCCCTTTCAAATGGGGGTGAGCACAGACGTGTTGGAGCTGGGGGAATTAAGGTTGGATGCCCTCTCTAACGCCCCACGGTCGACTCGAACCATCCTTTGTTGCCTCCTGAATCGCGCGCTCTGCCACTGAGCTACCGAGGCTCTGACAATATTTACTTAAGTCACGTGGTAGAATTGGGGGGGGGGGACAGTAGAGGCATCTATGAATACCTAACCCCTGCCATCTCAGTTGGTAAAACGATTACAGTATTCAATACTGCGGATCCTGAGTAACACCAATTCTTCCATAAGCTCGGGCAAGAGGATGGTTTGCTTAGGTCTGTCATGAAGCTCTGCTCTACCTCCCAAAATTAATCGCAATTTATTTTTAATGTTTTTATAAACTATTGTTAACAGATATCGAGTGCCGCGGTGGTTCAGTGGTAGAGCACTTCAGTTGGGAAGTGAATAACGTGGGTTCCATCCCCCCTGTTAGGCCTTTTGAAGAGCATCCAGCCTTAATCCCCAACTCCCAAATGTCTGTGTCCACCCCCATTCGAATGGATACTCACTGTGACACATACCATCCATACCCATGAAATAGAAATGATGACGTAACAGTGACGAAACACTTTGGGTCTTGATTTCATTAGCATCATGAGAATAGTGACGTCACAGTTTTGGCTCTGATGTAATTATTTATGCAAATAGGGACGGGTAATTAGGATTAAATTTGATGTAAAGAAAATAGATGAACAGAAAAATTATAGTGATATCAAATATCGAGAAATGAATTAATATCTAATTAAGTTCGCCTAAATAGGAAATAGTTTTAGAAGACGGTTGACTACAGAAATCAACTAGTCTTTGTGATCCCATATAAACACCATAAATTGTTAGATTAGCTTAGATATGGTTAGGTTAGGTTAGGTGACGTGCCATTTTAAATATGAATGACCCTAGAGCACCTAGGGATTAAAATTATTTACAAGAGCACCATGTAAAATTAAAAATTACCAGGCAAATTGTTAGATTAGGTTGCATTAGGCTAGGTGATTTGCCTTGTAAATATGAATAGCCGTGGAGCGTCTAGAGATTAATTTTTTTTTTTACAAGAGCACCATGTAAAATTAAATTACCCGGCAAATTGTTAGATTAGGTTGAATTAGGTTAGGTTAGGCTAGGTGATTTGCCTTGTAAATATGAATAACCGTAGAACACCCTGGGGTTGTGAGTCAGTTCTATACAAATTCCGAATCGTGCTTTTAGAGATGCAGTCTGAAGCACAAGGAGACAGGAGTGAGTTCTGTTGTGTTGGTCAGAAGAACCATAATTCCAAAAGGAAATACCATGAATGGTTTAATTATTGATGGAGGTCATTCTTTTGCGGTTGAAGATGGTAGCAGAAGCCTCTCACTTCTTTAGTTGTGTTTCATGTGGTTTCTTTTCTCCAGAGCAACATAGCTGATCATGTTTTGTTGTGCCAGCAGGTGGCTTGTTCATACTCCCTGAACTTTTTTCGCTTTAATCAGGTTGTTGTAAGAGTTAGTTTTCATTTTGTATGTACAAGCGGCTTGTTCTTAACGCCTTTGCTTTCAATAATTTGCTGTTGAGAAATTTATGTAGCGGTTTCAGATCTTTTTTTCCCTGCTTTTGTCTTCCCTGAAGGGGTAAGAATACCTCCTCGGGTTCCCCTGTCTGTCGTAAAAGTCGACAAAATGGGGCGGAGTGAGGAGACTGGGAATCACCTTCCTTGTATTTTCTTCCCACAAAGAGGTAAGTATTTTGCTTTGACTCAACCACTCCCTCTTAATGGAAGACAATGGCATTTGTATATACGTAGAATTATTTGTTGTATGAATTTTCAAGGCCTTCGTTTCTGTGCTTGAAAATATTCCAAGAGAATTTTCTTTTAGCTCAGTATATTCTGGCATTCCCTAGAGATTTTTTTTCCTCTCAGCTTTTTCTGAGTTTTAAGTGGATTAACTTCTCTACTTAAAGCTGGACCCACATTTTTTTCCTCTCGATCTTTAGCTGTATGAATTGTAAGTGACCCCACTTTCGCTGGTAGAAGTCGGGCCCAAAACTTGTTTGCTGTCAGTCTAAGTCTTTCCACATAGTCTCCTGTATGAATTTTAAGTGGTTCTGCTTTCTTTGCTTGAAGTTGGGCTCAGACGTTCGCTCTCAGTCTTAATAGCAGCTTCTTTCTTCTCTTGGTGTATGTCCTAAGAGGTCTAACTCTCTCTGGTTGGAATCTGAAACTGAACTTTTATCCTCTCAACTATTAGGTTTTTTAAGTGGATGCCCTTTTTCATGTATGAATGTCAAGTGTAACCACACAGTAGATGGAATTTTGTTGATATTAATTTTAATTAGTTTCACTTATCTCTGGATGCACTTAGTTCCCAAATCTGTCATCTTGAAAAGCCTTATATTATATGAGATTTAAGAAGTTCAGGACAGAAAAGAGAGACTCGGGTATTCTTTTTTTATGAACATAATGTGTTAAGCCCTCTAGGCTCTAGGGCCCATATGCACGGTCCCTGTGCAGGGCCCTTGTACACTAAAAGGCAACAAAGCATCCACTGACCATATGTTGATTATAATGTTAGATATTTATCAGCAGAAAACCCCCATTTCCAAGAGTTCTTGACAGTGAAATATAAAAAGGATTTGTGGGCTGACCAGCCATGAATTGGAGGCAATCTGGTGTGACTGAAGAATTAGTAATTAGTAAGGATGAATTAGATTTTTTTGGGGTGTTAATCTTATGTGACTGGGGATTATGAATGATGGAATTAGTTTTTTGTGGGGGGGGGTTCTTCAACCAATATTGTATGATTAAAGAAATTAATGTTTAAGATTAATTTTGTGTGACTTAGGATTAGGAATTATGAAATAAGTTATTTTGGGGGGTTCAATTAGTATTGTATAATTAAAAGAGATAATTAGTAATGATTATTACTTTTTAAGGATGATTTTCTTTTACTTAGTTTTTTATTATTAGTTTGCATGTTTTAAGCTTGGTAACTGGTAGTGCATATAAGAGTATTTTTTGTATTGATCTTTTATTAGTGAAGGAGTATTGATCAGTAATAATTAATCTTAAGGAGTGGAAGACTGTTATGAATGAGGCTTTATTTATTTTTTTAATCTTTTACGACTTCGCTATTATTAAATAGTTATAATGTATTAGATCATCGTGATTAATCTTTGATGACAGAAGTCAATTAATCAACCATTCATGTATTAGAATTTTTAGGCTAAATCTTTTTATGACTGAGAGAATAAAACGTTATACGTCACAGACTCCCTTTTCTACCAAGGGCTAGGACGGTTGTCTTCTTGCAAAGGACTTGTTTTGGCAAATGTAATCGTTACCCTGAGTGCATGCCCTTGCTAACCTCAGACCATGTCGGGGCGCGAACCCTCGACCTGCCGCCTCTGAGTATGAGAGAATGTTGATAAGTAAATAGTTCATATATATATATATTTTTAGCGATTAATCTCTTTATACCCGCTGAGGGAGGGGGGGTAAGAATACTTCCTCCGTGTTCCCCTGCGTGTTGTAAAAGTCGACCAAATGGGGCGGAGCGAGGGGCTTGGAATCCCCTCCTCTGTATTTAATTCCCGCAAAAAGTCAAAGTATTGTCTATGACTCAGCCACCCCCCTTATAAAGGGGAATATGGCTTTGGTATATGGATGGAATCTATTATTGAGGATTATTACTTAACAATTCTGTATCATGCTTCTGTAGCTAAACATTATATGACTTTTTTTTATGAATCTTATATGACTGAGGAATTGTTAGATTGTAATAATGTATTAGTTTTTTTGTGTTAATCCTGTGGGTATGAAAGAATGTTTATCAATTATAATAATTTAGTTTTAAGGCGTTAATTTGGTGTAACTGAAGGATTGTAAATTAGTGCTAATGAATTATATTCTTTGTTGGATAGACTGAGAAATTAGTTCCTGATTTACGTCACGGACTCCTTTTTCTACTAAGGGCTAGGACGGTTGCCTTCTTCCGAAGGACTTCCTTTGGCTGATGTAATCCTTACCCAGAGTGCATGCCCTTGCTAACCTCAGAGTCGCGGACGCTACCGCCTGAGCCATGACTGAGAAAATAGTGAGTAATAATACATTAGATTTCCGGCATATTAATCTTATATGTGATCCCCCAACTTCAACATGTCTGTGCCCCCCCCTATACAAATGGGGACTAATAGTGACATAAAACGGAACATCTTTATGTTCAATTGCAAACTCTAATTTAGGATTATTTCTCCGTTTATTTTGCTTGTAAGCTTGACCTCTTAGTCATTGTAGGTGAAAATCGTAATTTTGTGTTCACTGACTTGGTTTGCGACCTTGACCTTTGAGTTAGTATTGTGAAATACTACTACTACTACTACTACTACTACTACTACTACTACTACTACTACTACTACTAATAATAATAATAATAATAATACTATTATCATTATTTTTATTATTATTATTATCATTATCATTATAAGAAGAAGAAGAAGAAGAAGAAGAAGAAGAAGAAGAAGAAGAAGAAATGTGATATTTTCCTATTCCCTCCCAAACTGAATTTTAACGGAAAGTGTATCTTCAGATGTTACAAAAATTCCGCTTCCTGACTTTACTGCGCATGCGCTCTGCCTTTGTTTACATTTGGATTCAAATGTGTTAACGCATTTCCAGCTCTGGACCGATTTCGTAATTTCATTATTATTGGAAGTTATCTATTTACTTACTAATTTGTTTATATATTTGTTAAATTCTTTATTTGTCTATTTATATATTTATTTATTTATTTATGTAATAATTTATTTATATATTAATTTATTTACATATTTTTATTTATCTTATATATTATGCATTGCTTTGTTTATTTTTAACTGTTCTGGGATCAGTGAACAAGTTTAAATAAGATACCAAAGAAATCATGTCGTCTTGGTGTCTTTCTGTATATAGTTATGGAGAGAGAGAGAGAGAGAGAGAGAGAGAGAGAGAGAGAGAGAGAGAGAGAGAGAGAGAGAGAGAGAGAGAGAGAGAGAGAGAGAGAGAGAGAGAGAGAGAGAGAGAGAGAGAGAGAGAGAGAGAGAGAGAGAGAGCTCAGTATATATATATATATATATATATATATATA